TTTAGATATCCAAGAACCCTTCCAATGGCCGTCAAATGATCATTGCTCGGATTACTAGTAAACCTACTAAGTTTACTAATTGCAAAGACTATGTCTAGTCTTGTGCATTGAGCTGCATACATAAACTCCCAATAGCACTCACATATTCCAATTGAGCAATTACTCTTCCATCATTCTTTACAAGCATTGAACTTTGATTAATTGGGGTACTATATTCATTTACGTTCAAATATTTGAACTTGTTTATTACATTCTCGATATAATGTGAATGATTTAGATGGCATCCCCTACTAGTCTTAGTGACTTTGATACCCAATATGTTATCCACCTGTCCAAGATCATTCATTTTGAATGTGGAAGATAGAAACCTCTTCGTTTCTTCTATTCCATCCATGTGATTACTCATCATCAACATGTCATCAACATATAAGCATATAAATATCACAAAATTATCACAAATTTTAGAAATAAACATTTATCTATTATATTCAAATCCATATGATATTATATCTAAGTCAAATTTCTCATCCATTTTTTACGTACCTACTTCAAATTGTACAGTGATTTTACCAACTTGCATACCTTGTGTTCATTTTTTGATAGAACAAACCCTTTAGGTTGTTCCATATAAACCTTCTCATCAAGATCCTCATTCAAGAACATCATCTTGACATCCATTTGATGAACATGCAAATCATGTATGGAAGCTAATGCGAATAATATCCTGATTGATGTTATTTTAGTTATCGGTACAGAAGTGTCAAATTAGTTAATTCCTTCCTTTTGTCGATATCATTTGGCTACTAATCTAGCCTTAAAAGTATTAAGAGAACCATCAATATTATACTTTCTCCTAAATACCCATTTACACCCAATAGGCTTGGATCCGAGTGGCAAATCAAAAAGTTCCCACGTATTGTTTGACATTATTGAATCCATTTCATCCTTAATTACATCTTTCCAAAAGATGTTGTCACAAGCCATATCTCCTTCATAAGTTTTAGGATCGATTTTCACATGTAAAACAAAAGGAATTGTTTATACATCCTTCACCTCATTTCTCTCTACTAAGTAAAAGGAAGTAAGTTGAGATAGGGATATCTTTATGATTTTCCCTCAATTTATTATCCGAAGATAACAAATTCTCAAAAATCTCTACATTACTGGATTCAATAATCACCTTGGTCTCCAAATTCAACAATTTGTATGATTTGCTATTATTAGCATATCCAACAAAGACACATTTAATGTATCTTGGACCCAATTTAGTCTTATTAGGATTCGTGTTCTTATAATAAGCAAGAAACCCCCACACTTTGAAGTATCCAATGTTCAATTTTCTTCCTTTTCACTATTCGTACGAAGAAACCTTTGTATGTTTTGAAGGAATCCTATTTAGCATCCTACATGCACTCAACCCCATAAATTAAATGACAACTTATAAAAAGTTAACTGTTATGGATTTTAAATTAGCATAAGTAATATCTTCGCAAAAGAGGAAATGGAGAAGAAAAATGAAAAACCAAAACCAGAAATATGAATGGTTTAAAGGATTAATCAAGCCTTAAAATGAATAAACACTTAAGTACTTAGTGTAATTCCCCAAAACTAAAGAATACAAAAGAAATAAATTGAATATGACGAAACAATATGATAATTTTTGGTAGAATGGAAAATGTACTGGCCAAAATTTGTTTTTCAAGTGTATTGTTATGAATGTCAATCACCTATTTATAGGCCTCATTAAGATCCTACGAAATTGTGTCAAAATAGATTGAAAAGCCACCAAAATTCAAACAACAACGGCCATAAATGGCTATATTTTATCACTATGTCGCATTAGGTTCTATATTGTAATTGACATTCTATGAACAAAAAAGGACTTAATTGTATATGTCTAAAAGTCAAGGCTTGAAGTGCAATATTATATAGTTGAGTTGGGCTAGGGTTTGAGCTTGTAAAATTAGAGGCCCATAAGTCTCAGTCTCTCTATATATATACACTTATATGCACTGAAGAAGGGTGCCGCTGGCTGCAATATTGATATAGATATATAGACAGAAAACGGCATAAGGTGAGGCTACTGTTGAGGAAATGAAGCTGGGAATTCACATAAAGGCTGCCTGCCAGTGAAATATATCACACACACACACAAAAATTGTGAATTATACATATAAGACAAAAGGTGGCTGCTAGAGGAATTAAAGGATAAAAACCATAGAAAAGGGTGGCTAAAATTGTATCATATAAATGCACAAAAATTGAGGAAGAAAAGGTATCGGCTGCTGAAGATATATAACATACTAACAGGGAAATTGAGGTAACTTTGGGGCAATATACAAATACAATTGATAGCAACTTGGAGTTCTTTGAATAGTCAAGAATTGAGGGCTACTATATATATATATATACACAACATTATTGGCGGCGGCTTTGGAAGAATTGAGGGACAAGATATCTATATATATATATATACACAACATTATTGGCGGCGGCTTTGGAAGAATTGAGGGACAAGATATCTATATATATATATATATATATATAGACACACACACACACACACACACACACACACACCCAGATTGGAGGCTGCTTTTTGGGCTGAAAGAATGAGGAAATCGGAGCAATACACACAAACATAAACGGCTGCTACAGGTGGTTGCTTTTTGATTGGAATTGAATTTTGGAATAAACAATACAAGTGGTAGCTTTGGAGAATTAACAACGAAAGTGGACAGTAGAGGATTGAACTTGGAGAAAACATTCCACACCTTGATTCTTTTATTTGATCCCATATTCTCTTAGTGCAATCACAAAAAAAAAAAAAAAACATCAAATTCACTTTCATCAAATACTACAACAAATCCTTCCAGAGCATCTGTTGAGGCTTGAAGATCAGGAAAGGAGATCGGGGTTCCGATCATTGGAGAATAGGAAGTTCTTTAAAATCCACAAGAGGTAGATGAAATCAAGAGCCTGGAATTGGTATAAAGCACACAATCCATGAGGGTTAGAGGCTGAGAGTTGGTGCAAGATCACGCATTCCAGAAGGACTTTTGGGAAACTACAATAAAGAGGTCAAATAAACAAGTGTGGGTTGAGTCTGACGAATTGTAAGAGGTATTTTCGTTTATAGTGGATTCGCATGAGCTTGGGCCTGGAGTTTTACACACATTAGGGTTTCTCCGTCATCAAATAATTGTGTTCTTTATGTTTCTGCAGTTTACTTGTTTTTGGTAATTCAACGTAGGATAGTAAAGCATGTGAATTGATCTGAACATATTAATAATTGTGAGTTGTTGCATTTATTAATTAATTAGTAAAAATTCTGTATAAACACCTATTCACCCCCCTCTAGGTGTCATTTGGGTCAAACTACGTTTTTCATATGTGACCACATAGTTTACTTCGTGGAGGCCCTGCACACGAGCATGCACTGCATAGGTATACTCCTTAGCCTCCGGCTTCCATTTTCCTTTCAATGCACATTTTATTGATTTTGAATAATCATTCAACAATGCTATCTAATGTCAGTGGTGTTAGAGTACCAATTTAGGTGATTATATTTTATAAGTTCAATTAAATAAGTCATATGACTTTATTTTTAAATAGATCTATCAGTTTATGTCATGTAATTATCATCTAGACCGGTGGTTATGCATATCATTCTCTTCTAGTGATGATGAAGTGCCATCTGGTGCATGAGATGAGCTAGATGATCATGGTGAAGGTCGTCAAGTTAATGAGATAAGGCACACATTACGATATTAAATATTTTAAATTCATTTTATTCCTTTTATACTCTGAATATTGTACTATGTACCTTAACAAATAATTCATTAGTGACTATAGAAGAAGATCATAAAATTATGCATTATTCTGGTTACCAGAAGAGCATCACTACCAACTCAACGATTGGAAATTTCATGTATATTCTTTCAACATTCATTAGCTTAAATTATTATTTTTAATTTTTATACTTCAAAGAGGCTTCATTTTGGTGCTTTTTTGTGCTAATAATGCTTCTTTGTATTAATGACCGGTGTCAAGGGCAAATGAAGAGGATAAGAACAAAAGGTAACAATATTTTCACATAATTAATGAAGATAATTTATGTTACCAAAATGTTTTCTCACGCCACCACATCTTACAGTAGATTAACCAGATATCTGAACATTGTCTAATTACGGACACGAAATGCATAAAATTACTTATTCATTAACCAAATAACTTTGCAGTACAGATTTTGGCCATAAAACAGCTACAACACACTGCAACACAACATTGGAAGCCAATAGAGCTTTAAAATCTTTAGAATGATAGCCAAGTTTCCTGTGATAGCAACATATAATAAGCTTTAAAGATTACTAGTAAAATGGAAAATAGATTTTGATTCAAATAATCATTTTTTTTTTGTTGTGTTCTGAATAAGAAGAAAACCTTTTGTCTTGTTCTACCTCGATTATGCTTTAATAAAATTAAGTTTTTTATCTTCTTGAGCCTTGTTAGAACATCTTTAGCAGTGAGCCTCTCTTATGGCAAATCAGTTGTGCATTCTAGTGCTAGTTTCATGATTAATTTGAAGCAGCTCTTCTTAGCTCGAATATTATCTTCAGTAGGATTCACTAAATCGACATCAACTATGTCCATTACTGCATCTGGAAATGATTCAAGCACCCATTTCCTCATTGTGAACTCTCCGACAAATATATCATCCGTTGGCTTCTTCTTGGTAAATGTTTCCATCAGCATAATCCCATGACTATAAACATCCGCCATAGTTGATACTAATCCAGCTGATCCATACTCTACAAAATTAGGATATGTGATCAAATTAACTAGTTTAATGTTAAATGATGCATAAATAAAACAAGAACTAAAAAGTAATACTTACACTGTTAGCATTCACATATGCACAAGTAGATGAAAGAAACCATTTACCTGGAGCCATTTATCCAATGGTGCCCAACGTCTTGGTAATCGAAATTCTCTGGTCTTCAGTGAAAAGCAAGTCTGCAACATTGGCAACCATATTTTCATCAAAAAGTATATTGCTCGATTTCAAATCACAATGGACAATTGGAGAGGGATACCCATAATGTAGATACTCTAGCGCAGATGCCACATCTATCACCATTTCCAGTCTTTGAGCTAAATTTAGGAAATAGTTGCTTGAAGATAGCCATTTGGTAAGGTTTCCGTTAGGCATATATTCCATCACCAAGGCTTTAAGATCAACGTTAGAGCAGCTACTAATTACCTTGACAAGATTTCTATGACGAATATTGCACAATATTTGGCACTCAGAATCAAAACTGTTCTTTGCTTCTTCCAATTCTAAATTAAACACCTTAATTGCAGCAATCATTCCATCTGAAAATACTCCGCTGTACACTGAACCAACACTGCCTTTGCCAATCAAATTCTCTTTACGAAATTTCTTTGTAGCATCAAGAATTTCAAAATATGAAATCCTCTTGATGGTGATGGGGGAAATAGACAGAGTTGGAAGATGTGTTTTTCTGCTCTAGCATCTCATTAAATAAATCATAGTCATAGCCAGAATAAATATGACCGAAATTGATGGTAAAATATACTTCAAAAGTCTAGTTTTGTTTGATATTCTAGATGTGTTATCTTCGCACCGCTTGACCTTAAATTGAGATGCTCCATACAATTCACGATTGCCAATGAAAAAAATCTGAGGTAAAGTTCTTAAAAGGCCTTCCATTTGGAATTTCACCGGTGAGTTCATTGAACGAAACATTAAAATACTCAAGGAACTCAAGTTTCTCCAATGTCTTGGGGATTACACCATCATTTTCAATGAAATTAGATTACCAAATGATTCAGGTGTAGGACCATGTAATCGATTGTTTGATAATGTTAGATTTCCCAAATTCTAAAGTTGTCCTATAGTGCTAGGAATATCACCTGAGAATTGATTTCCCGATAGATATAACCCTCGCATGCTCTTAATGTTTCCAATTTTCGGAGCCAGCAACCCATTCAGCAAATTATCAATTAAACTCAAAATCTGAATTTTCTTGTTAGTCCACATTGTGGATGGGATAGTGGAAGTCAATGAGTTAGAAAATAAATAAATTTCTCGTAAAGACGTAAGATTTCCTAAACACTTTGGCAACTGTTCAGAAAGCTGATTATTTCCCAAATCAAGATAATACAGATGTACCAAATTGCAAATGTTGGCAGATACTGACCCCGTAGTTTATTGACACCTAGTCTCAGCTTTTGCAATTTTCTTAATTGACTCAATGTATCACGAATTGTTCCTATCAATTCATTGCTTCCAATGCCTAACTCAATCAAGTTGGTCATATTACCAACTTCATTAGGAATGATGCCTTTAACACCACAATAATCAGCAGTGAAAGATTCAACATATTCTGACAAATTACCCAATGATTTTGCTAATATTTCGTGGAAAGGTTTGTTTTCTATCCCTAAGATCATCAACTGCCTACAATTTTGCAATGAAATAAGAAAATCTAATTCGATCACTGAAGGATTTTTTGTCAACTGATTAAAGCCAAAATGTAGAAAATGTAGGTTATGTAAATTCCCAATGTTCATGGGCACTTGTCCACTGAAGGAGTTGCCATGAAGATCCAACTTAGCAAGTTTTGAAAAATTTGAAACAGAGGGAGGAATTTTTCCACTCAATTGATTGTCACCAAGTAAGAGACGTTCAAGATTAGGGAGACCATTGGATATTGACGATGGAATATTGCTGGAGATACTATTGTCACTCAACGAAAGTATTTGTAACATGGAGAGATTGAAGATGGATTCAGGTATTTGCCCTGAATTCTATTATCAAAAATAAGTAATTTCTTCAAATTTGATAAACTGCTAACTGAATGCATAATTGTACCTGTATTGTTGTGCTTGTCAACACAAATTAATGAATACCAAAAGTACTGATGAGTTATAGATACCTGTTAAGACATCAAAACCTAAGGATAAATACAGAAGTGCTAATGAGTTTCCGATTTCATATGGAATGTTTCCCATGAATACATTTTAGGATATTAAATATTGAAATAAAAAGTAAAATATTTAAAATTTCATATCAAATAATAACACTGTAATTATTAAGTAACTATAAGTTATTGTGGTATATGATATACTTTTACTAATTATTGTGGTATGATATATTTTTAATAATTATTTGAAAACTGCCCCAAATGCTGAAAAACATGTCAAAAGAGTATAAAATGACTAGGTGGTAGCATAAGGCTCATTTAGATTTTACATCAGCATAGATATCTTTGTTAAAGGTGACCATTTAAATTTAGAGTTTTCATAACTAAATTGCATCCTAGGTACTAAAACATTATAATGAGACTAGATGCTAGTATTATCCATCTTCATCTCAAGCATATTGGGTAATTTGGCTTCAAAGTAATTATGCTGTATTTTTAATAATTACATGAAAAATACCAAATATTTTGAAAACAATTTGTCAAAAGAGTGTAAAATGCATAGGCGGAAACCTAAAGCTCATCAAATGTTAAATTAACACAAAATAGATCTTATGGAAGAGGGGGAGTATAAACTAATTTGAAGTTGATGATTGAGTAAATATGAAGTTATTGTCGCATAATATATTTATAATAATTATTTGAAAAATGTCAAACATACTTTAAATTATTTGTCAAAAGATTTAAAACGACTAAGAGAGCTGAAGTTCATCTAGATTCCCACCAGCATAAAAATCTTTTTTAAGTTGACAATTTAAAATTTTCATAACTGATAATGCATTCTAGGTCCTCAAACTAAGGAAAAAAAAACTAAATTCAATTAATATTGAAAAGTTTAGCAAGTATAAGCAAGTTGGGTACTTAGGATTTGATGTGATTATGCTGTGTTTCTAATAATTATTTGGAAAACACCACACATTTCGAAAAGCATTTGCCAAAATTTGGAAACCCAAAGTTCGTTTAGATTTTCCACTGGCATAAAAATCTCTGATGTATACAAAAATTTTAAATTTAGAATCTTGGTATAAATCTTTGTCAACACACTAAATAAACAAATTGAATAGATTTAGTTAATGTTTTAAAAAGAGTGTCTAAGCTGAGCCTTGCCACTAAACCACACTTTAACGATTTTATATGCTGGCCCATTTAGGCTCGTAAAAGATAGAAGGTTAGCCTTGAAGTCTTGTCAAGCATTATGATTTTTAAAACACTTGATTTAATACATAACATATGTTTAAGAGATGTAGTAACATACCACTCAAACTGTTGGACTCCAATTCTAGATGTTCAATTGCTGATAGGTTTCCAATTTCATTTGGAATATTTCCTGTCAATCCATTTGGACATATAGATTTTAAAATATCAAATGTTAAATTAACACAAAATAGATCTAATAAAAGAGAAGAAGTACCTACTAATTTGAATTCCACAATTAAGTATCCGTGGAGTTACTGTTGCATGATGTATTTCTAATAAATGTTTGAAAGATGGCATACATTTTGAAAAACTTTTGTGAAAAACAGTGTAAAATGCCTAGGTGGTTACTGAAGTTCATTTTGATTTTCCACCAGCATAAAAATCTTTTTTGTATACGAAAATTTTTAATTGGGTAATTAGCACAAAACATCCCTACCTTTAGATGTTTTTGTAGAAAACGTCCCTACCTTTCATTTTTTGGTGGATTACACCCTTACCTTTACATTTTTTTGCGCAAAACATCCTTCTGTCAACTCTCCGTTAAAATGCTCCGTTAAATCAAAAAGGTAATTAGCATAAAAGGTCCCCACCTTTCAAAGTTATTGTGCAAAACGTCCCTACCTTTTATTTTTTAGCATAATTAGCAGAAAAGGTCCTTACATTTCAATATTATTGTGCAAAACATCCCTACCTTTCATCTTTAGCATTTTTACCCCTACATTTCACATTTCATTGCGCAAAAGGTCATTTTCATCCATTTTTTCAATAAAATGACGATTTTACCCTCCTATTGAAATAAAACAAAAAGAAAAGAAAAAAATAATTAATTAATTGCAATCATAGTTCTAAATCTTTCAAAACATTACAGATAAATCCTAAATTCTCCACTACCGCCACTTTCACAACCCCACCAAGCCACCACCTATAGATTCATATAGCACCACTTTTCGACCACAACACATAGGACTCTACCACCACCAGCGTCGCCTCACTCTCCCCAATAACCTCCTCCATAGTATTGGTCACCAATCTGTCCGAAACAACCACATTTACAGTGATGGAGTCCAGTGGGCATGGTGGTCGAAAGGTGGTATTATGTGGATTTATAGTTGGCAGCTTGATAGGTTGTGAAAATGGTGGTGGTTGAGAATTTATGATTTTTTGTAATTTTTTAAAAATTTAAGGATTATGGTTGCAGTTGGTAATTCATCTTTTCTTTTTGTTTTATTTGAATAGGAGGGTAAAATCGTCATTTTATTGAAAAAATGGATGAAAATGACCTTTTTGCAATGAAAGGTGAAAGGTAGGGACGTTTTGCACAATAATATTGAAAGGTAGGGACCTTTTCTGCTAATTACCTTTTTGATTTAACGGAGCATTTTAACGGAAAGTTGACAGAAGGACGTTTTGCGCAAAAAAAATGTAAAGGTAAGGGTGTAATCCACCAAAAAATGAAAGGTAGGGACGTTATCCACAAAAACATCGAAAGGTAGGGATATTTTGTGCTAATTACCCTTTTTAATTTAGAATCTTGATATAAATCTTTGTCATGAAACTAAATAAACAAATCAAAATATATTTAATAAGTGATCCAAAAGGTGCGTTCAGGCACGAAGCTGGCCCTATCACCTAGCCACACAGTACACTTTTGTATACCTAGCCCATTTAGGCTAGTAGAACCCCCAAGCTTAACCATGACGTCTAGTCATATTTTACGCTTTTTAGAACACTAAATTTAATATAATACTATTTCGAAGATCTAGGTATGTACCATTGAAATTATTGGGCCCCAAATCTAGTAATATAAGTGCTGATACTTTTTCAGTTTCATTTTCTTTTTCAATCCATTTAAATATGTAGATTTTAAAATGTTGCATGTTGAATTAACACAAAATACACCTAATGAAAGATGAAGTACAAACAGTTGATAATTAAGTACCCATGAAGTTGTTTCATAATGTATTTCCAATCATTATTTGGAAAATGCATACATGTTGAAAATTATTAGTCAAAAGTGCGTAAAATTCCTAGGTGCATGGTAACCTAAAGTTCATTTAGACTTTCCATCAGCATAAAAATCTTTGTTATATATGACAATTTTTTTTAAGCTTTAGTATAATTTTTTATTAGGACAGTAAATAAATTAAAATAAATTTAACCAATCTTCTATAAATAAATTAAAATAAATTTAACCAATCTTCTAGGCACGATGCAAGGCCTTGTTGTCTGGCCTGTTTAGGCTCATAATAACTTGATGCTTGGCTTTGATGTCTAGCTGCACTTTATGATTCTTAGAGCATTGAAACGTATAAAATAAGTTTAGGAGATCTTGATACATACCACTGAAATCATTGTGTCACAAATCCAAATATACAAGTACTGATAGGTTTCCAATTTCATTTAGCATATTTACTGTCAATCCATTTAAAAAACATGTGGATTTTAAAATATCAAATGCTAAATTAACACAAAATAGATCTAATGAAAGAGAAGAAGTACCAACTACTTTAATTTCGATAACTAAGAGCAAATTATTGTTACATTATGTATTTCTAATAATTATTTGAACAATGCTACACATGCAGAAGTATATTTGTCAAAAGAGGGTAAAATGTATAGGTGGTCACTTAAAGCTCATTTAGATTTTCTAGCAGCATAAAAATTGTTGTAATGTATGACCATTTTAAATTTAGTGTTTTCATAACTAAAATTTCATCTCCTATGCCCTCAAACTAACAAATTAAAAATAAAAAATAAAATCACTACATCCAATTAATAATGAAAAGATTATAAAATACTGAATAAACATTATAATTTGGCTAGTCACTAGCAGTATCCATCTCAAATCAAAGTTGATTGGGTATGTTGAATTTGATGTTATTACGATGTATTTCTAATACTTATTGGAAAATGCTATGCATGCTCGAACACATTTTTCAAAATTCACAATCAAGGTTTTAGGGATTATTCTGCACATAACTTTTAGTGAAGCTATGTAAAAGGAAATACTCCATGGGCATTGACAAGCAGATCACTATGCATGTAAGAGATGTTTTATAATGCGAAGGGACAACAATTCTTGTGAATTGTCAAAAGTTTTGGAATACTTTATCTAGTGAAGTGAGACATGTGTATGTGAACAATCTTTAAACTTACCTGTCAAATTATTTAGTCCAAGATAGAGAACTTGAAGCTTTGACAACTTCCCGATTTCCATTGGAATATGCATCCGACAAAATTATTGCACGACAGAGAAAGTAGTTTAAGATTCATACAAGCTCCCCAAGCTTGGATGAATGTTTCCACTCATTTGATTCCTTGAAATCCTTAGCCTCTCCAGCTTTGGAAGATTGAAGAAAATATCCATAGGTAGACTTCCTGAGAGTCTATCGCTTCGAAAACTAATTTCAATCAGAGAAGTGAGGTTGAAAATCCTGTTACGAATATCTCTAGGGAGTCCATAATTGGAGATATTTAACTTCAATAGATTTTCAAGAAATTCAAAAGTTGGCGGAATAGAGCCACTGAGTCCATTGTTCTGCATCTCTATTTCTTGAAGCTGGCTGAGTTTACCAATTTCATTAGGGATAAACCCATGAAAATTATTGTTGCTAATAATTAAGGATCTCAAAAAAGAGATTTCACCAATTTCTTTAGCAATAGTACCTCCTAGACCCATATTTGCTAGATTCAAGCCCCTAACTCTTTGATGTCTCCTGCCACAAGAAATGCCAATCCAATTACAGAACGAGGTTCCTTGTGACCAATTTTTTGCCCAGATTTTATTTGGATCGGAGGTTATTTGAGATTTGAAAGCTAAAAGAGCATATTCATCTATGGAGCTATTTAGAGATGTAACAATGTTGATAAGCAAGTAGACAATAGCCAGCAACATAAAGAAGACATTCTTTCCCATGGCTAATTTGAAATGCAAAAAGATAATAGGGAGGGGGATGGTAATGACGAGTTCGATGTAAGTGTGTGTGTGTGGATATATATAAAAAAAATTAAAGCTTAAGCAAGATAAATGTACAAGGTAATTTATGGTTAACGTGTTGGTTAGGGTTTTATCTCAAGGGAGTCATGTTCGTCACACCATTATATACTTAAATTATTTTTTTTCAAGAATAAAATAAACTATGCCTGACTATGGATCTGGAAAAATTATTCCATTGCATGTTGAGATTTTTCCTTATCTTATATTGTGGAAATTGTGGAAGTTTTTCCACAAATGAAGGCTTCATTCTTCTAATAATCCAAAAGAAATAATTCGCTTTTGGAGACTTCATTGTCCACAATACTCCCCTATTTTCTAGTATAAGGCAGAGATTTTCTTAAGAAAAAAGGTTGAAGTGTGCATAACTTTAAAGTTTTTAAATCTTAGAGAGTCTTACGAAATATGCACGGCCTGAATTTCTGTTTCCAGAATTTTTATAATTATTTATTTATTTATTTTATATCCAGAAGAAAGGTTTTTGTGGTTACTAAGAACACTTAATTTAAATTATATAGCTCGATGCTTATAATTTCATTATTAGAAGGGTTTAATATATCTTATAAGGTATTTCATGACTTTTGGTCTATACTAGTCAAAGTTGAACGTGCGTTGCACGTTGCTCTAAAATAATTTATAAGTGCTGTAAAAGTAATATTTGACATCAATTTGTTGAGAGAATTTGATGAATCTCAACCGAACTAAAGAAAATAAAATTCAGCATATAAATTTAAAAGAAAAAAAAATCGTACTCTCAAAACTCAACTACTATGATTTGATTTTTTTGAAAGGATGAAGTACTACAAATGAGCAACATTTTTATACTACATTTGGTACATAAGAATTAACTGCTAATAATGAATTTAAAATCCCATTAAAACTTCTAGATACATGAATAGAAATAAATTTATCTATAATAACTCTAGATTTATATAGGTCAACATTCATCAAGTGAAGATTCATTGAGTCTTCACTAGTGTGAATGTTAATTAATTCAAAATTAATAAGACGAAATTCATACATGATAAGGATTTTGTAGTATTTATTATATATTGATAAACGAAAAGTAAGGTATTATTAAAACCAATGAATTGTAATAGGTTAAAATTGTCCAAAAAACGATTCTCACTTGATGTGGTAATTTATGGTTAACGTGTTGGTTGGGGTTTTATCTTAAGGGAGTGGTGCTCATCACACCATTATGAACTTCACTTTTTCCAAAACTAAAACAAACTTTGCTTGACTTTGAAACTAGAAAAATTATTCCATTGGATGTCGAGATTTTTCTTATCTTTTATTCTGGAAATTGTGGAAGTTTTTCCACAAATGGAGGTTTCATCTTCAAATGATCCAAAAGAATTAATTAGTATTAGGTGACTTAATTGTCCACCAATACTCCCCCATTTTCTAGTGGAAAGCAGAGATTTTCCTTTTCGTGCATAACTTAGAAGTTTAAATCTTAGATAATCTTCTGAAATATGCATGGTCTGAATTTCCCTTTTTAGAGATTTTTTTTTTTAATATCCTGTAAATTATTTAGCTCAATGCTTATAACTTCATTATTAGAAGTGATTAATATATCTTATAAGATATTTTACGACTTTTGGTCTATACTATTTAAGGTTGAATGTGCATTGCACGTCATTATGAAATACTTTACAAGCCTTGTAAAAGTAATATTTGATACCAATTTGTTGGGAGGATTTGATGAGTCTCAACCGAGCTAGAGGAAATAAAATTTATGATATATATTTACGGGAAGAGAATTTTACTATCAAAAACCAGAGTTCACCAATTTCTTTAGCAATAATACCTCCGAGACCCATATATGCTAAATTCAAGCCCCTAACTCTTTGATATCTCTTGCTACAAGTAATGCCGATCCAATTGCAGAATGAGGTTCTTTGTGACCAATTTTTTGCTAATATATTATTTGGATCGGAAGTTATTTGAGATCTGAAAGCTAAAATAGCATATTCATCGGTGGAGCTATTTAGAGATATAAAAATGTTGATAAGCAAGTAGACCATCGCCAGCAACATACAGATGACATTCTTTCCCATGGCTAATTTCAAATGCAAAAAGATAATTGGGAGGGAGTTGGTAATGAAGAATTTGATATAAGTGTGTGTGCGTGTATATATATATATATATATATATATATATATATATATAAAGCTTAAGCAAGATAATTGTAGAAGGTAATTTATCGTTAATGGAACTCATAACACGATTATGAACTTCATTTTTTTCCGAAAATAAAATAAACTATGTTTGGCTATGAAACTGGAAAAATTATTCCATTGGATGTTGAGATTTTTCCTTATCTTTTATTGTGGAAATTTGTCCACAAATGAAGGTTTCATTCTTCTAATAATCCAAAAGAAATAATTAGCTTTTGGCGACTTCATTATCCACCAATACTCCCCTAGTTTCTAGTAGAATGCAGAGATCTTCTTAAGAAAAAAGTTTAAAGTGTGCATAACTTAAAAGTTTAAATCTTAGACAGTCTTTTGAAATATGCATGGCCAAAATTATTGTTCCCAAAAGATTTTTTATTTTTTATTTTTTATTTTTTAAATCCAAAAGAAAGGTTTTTGTGGTTACGAAGAACACTAAATTTAAATTATTTAGCTCGATGCTTATAAATTCATTATTAGAAGAGCTTAATATATTTTATAATATATTTACAACTTTTGGTCTATACTATTCAAAATTGAATGTGCATTGCACGTTATTCTGAAATACTTTATAGATGCTGTAAAAGTAATATTTGATTTTGTTGGGAGAATTTGATGAGTCTCAACCGAACTAAAGAAAATAAAATTTAGGATATAAATTTAGGAGAAGAAAATTGTACTCTCAAAACTCAACTTCTGTGATTTAATTTTTTAAAAACCATAAAATACTACAAATGAGCAACCTTTTTATATTACATTTGGTACATAAGAATTAATTGCTAATTATGAATTTAAAATTCTATTAAAATTTCTAGATACATAAATATAAATAAATTTATCTATATAAACTCTAGATTTATGGAGGCCAAGATTCATTGAGTCTGGATTAATGTGAATGTTAATTAATTGAGAATTAATAACATGAAATTTATACATGATAAGGTTTTAGTTGTATTTATTACATATTGATAAATGAAAAGGAAGGTATTATTGAAATAAATTAATTGTAATAGGTTAAAATTGTTCAAAAATGATTCTCACTTGATGTGGTAATTTACGGTTAACATGTTGGTTGGAGTTTTATCTCAAGGGATTGGTGCTCATCACACCATTACGAACTTCAATTTTTCCAAAAATTAAACAAACGTTGCTTGAGTATGAAGTTGAAAAAATTATTCCATGGCATGTTGAGATTTTTCTTATCTTTTATTGTGGAAATTAAACATCCTACTCGACTCAAACATTTCTACAACATTCTGATTTGATGCACCTGATTGCTCTCCATGAAACACCCAAGTAGTATATATAGGATCCATACTTTTAATAACCAAATGTTCATAGATTGTATCATAATGATGATGCATTAGATTCCTACACTTAATACAAGGACATACCATCATTTCTGAATTGCATTTTTTACGAGCTCGTTCAACAAAATTCTGTGCTCCTAGTCTTGAAAATCTACGAGTAAATATTTATGATCTTTATACATTGAAATTATTTCCATTTGGTAACTAGGTTCATAAGATCCAATTTCAGATGATAACCTTGATAAGTGCAACCACTCTTTGTCCATTATACGCAAAGCTACTATCCAAACTGAACATCGCAATATTCAAAAAATAGATGTGCAGGATTAAGTTCCAACTAAATCAGTCAATGATATTGCTCTAATGACAATCAAAATATAATTTTACAACAATAATCGTTAAGCTAATAAGACAACATAGACAAAAAAATAGGACAGTACTTCAAAGAATCAAAAATGCTTCACTTACTATTAAACAAAAAAATCCCAAAAAACTAAGAATTACTATTTCTTCATAAATAAATATGCATATTAACAGTTGGCTTAAAAATGACAAAGATTTCCTACTGTCCAACAATTTAAAAGTGAAAAAACCACAGCTTAGAAGATGTCCATAAGGAGTATAGCTGGATAGAGAAATATTGTCCACATTTTTCCAAAAAGAATAGACTTCCTAAATTATGGCCAAAGACCCTTTTCTTCTCTAAAATTTGTCCAGGTTTTGCATAATTTTCAAGCATATGATATTACACTAATGTTTATTAATCAGTGAAATCAAGAAATATCTGAATATTTTTTTATAGTGGAAGAATTAATTGGAGTTGGATTAGAGTACATTATGGGTGGGTACATTATATGATCGAAAATTAACATTATATAGATTTATAAAAAGTGTATGATATGTGTTCGTGGGGAAATAAAAAATGAAAGTATGTGTTTAGTGGATCATCATATTTTCTGAAACATAAGCAACTTATACAACAGTGAAAATAGCTTTGATCTGTGCAAATGGTCAGTAAGTACACCTATTTCATTATGTTAGTAGCATAAATTCACAGAGATTGTTAGTTGTTGAGGCTATTACCTACATTTGGCTTAAATATGCCATTGCATTTGTTCTCAATGATTTTATTCTTGCCCAGTTGGAACATGTCTATTTTTTCCAATATTATTGTGTGAGACTCTTGAGATTTGATTAAGATTGAGTCACTCTTTTGACATCAGTGCTTTATTTCGTCCACCAGATGCTTTCATAATGCGTGTCATAAAAGTCAAAAGGTGGTGTATATATTACAAAATTAGATAATATGAAACTCTTAAAAGCATTTAGAACTTAAAAATTTTGATTCATTAGGTAAATGCAATAAGAACGTACAAATTTGCATTGCAAAGGCTATGTTTGGCGATTGGAAGTTGATTGTGTGTGGGAAGAA